AGAATACCTTGATAGTCTTGAGATTTCATTGTACCCTGCACAGATTCAAGACACGCTGTGCCAGATGCAGCAAAGCAGCCCCAGAACATAGCAGAGCCTCCTCCATGTTTCACAGTAGGGACAGTGTTCTTTGTTGATATGCTCCATTTTTGCGTCTGTGAACATAGAGCTGATGTGCCTTGCCAAAAAGTTCCAGGTTTGTCTCGTCTGTCCATAGGACATTCTCCCAGAAGCTTTGTGGTTTGTTAACATGCAGTTTGGCAAATTCCAGTCTGGCTTTTTTATGATTTGTTTTCAACAACAGTGTCCTCCTTCGTCGTCTTCAATGAAGTCCACTTTGGCTCAAACATCAACAGATGGTGCGATCTGACACTGATGTACCTTGACCTTGGAGTTCACCTTTAATGTCTTTAGAGGTTGTTCTGGGCTCTTTTGTTACCATTCATATTATCCATCTCTTTTATTTGTCATCAATTTTCCTCCTGCGGCCACATCCAGGGAGGTTGGCTACAGTCCCATGGATCTTAAAAAAAAGCTTCAAAAGCAATGTCTGATTTTCATTGGTTAATTTTCATAGATTTTTTATTTATTAGATTTTTTATTTATTATTACTTTTGTCAGATTCAAGTTATTTCTGTGACCATTGTGGGTTTTTCTTTCATTAACTGAGAACAATTTTGTCCACATGTGTATAACCTAAAGTTCCTGATAAGACCTTCAGGAAAGTTATAAATGCAAAACTTTTATGTATAACCAAGTATTTTTTTACAGAACAGTATTTCCAGTTTTCCTCAAAGTTTAGAGGAAGAGGATGTCACGACTCTACTTACTGTGCTGTTCGTTGGCTGGGTTGGTAAAGAAGAGCACTCCTTCCTTTTGCATAGCTCCAGCTGCCACTGCAGGATCCACCAGCGTGTAGTCAAAGGACAGATCATCTATGGGCAGAGACAGTCCTCCGTCACGGCTGCGCACCACGACGCGACACCGACAGTGGTAGTTGTTCTGGTTCCGCACGTTGATCACGATGCTGCCGTCCATCATCTCAAATGGCTGCAGAAGGACGAAGAAAGAGAAGAAGGATGGGGAATCTGTGATTGAAATCAGTATTAGAGGAAAACAGGAAGTGAAATTAAACAATTAGCATTTTTTATTTCCTGCACAGAAACCCCAAAGAGATTTTAGGTGCTGTAAATTCAAAGCTTTGTTAATTGGGATTTCATTTACTATAGACTGAACTCTCAAACTGTGGTAAGTGTACCACCAGTGGTACGTGAGCTCCCTCTAGTGGTATTTGGAAAACGGCCATAAATATTTTTAAAAATTAAAATTATTTTGAAAATATATATTATCCAAAACATAGAATCAAAATACATAACATTACATATTAAATTCACATTGTCTTTCCTTTATTTTTGTCTTTATCAGTATCCTACAATCATCTTCGCTGCCACCTCTTCGCTAGCGCATTCGCCGCTAACTGTTAGCAGTTTTCGCTAAGACACCCCCGCTTTGACACGCTGTCAAAAAATCCTGGCGAGGACCCCGAATGTCGTCCCCTCCAGCTGTATGTCCGTCTGGGATGTTGTCATGGAGCCACGTTTCAGTTAAAGCAAACACACAGCAGCCCCCCCACTTTCTGCGGGTTTCTCTCAGGAAACGTAGTAGCTCGTCCAACTTGTTGTGGAGGGAGCGGATATTGGAGAGTAGGAGGACGGTCCTGCTGGTCTGGAAGGGTTAGCCTTTAGCCTAGCACGGCTCTCTTCCTCCTCGTTTGTTTACGTTCGTACCGTTTGCGCTTCCTTCTCTCTCGGGTAACTGCCGGCGTAGTCTCCGATTGGATTCCGTGTTGGTAGAGTATATCCACATCGCAACCGATCGCCGCAATTCCCGCGCCGTTCACTGTCCTGACGCCCAGCAAAGTCTCCCGACTGTAAGTTTTGCAGAATGAACGTCTGGGATAGACAAGACACATAAAACTTTCATTCTGGCTGTCTCCTGAATGGGCCGCTGCGTCCATGCGCGCCGCCATCTCATCTACATATCGGCCCTGATCGCGCTTTCGGAAAAGGCCGTGCGCTTTCTCCTTCCTTTCGTGACAACGTGTATGTGTGAGAAAGGCTTCTCTTGACTTGCCGCCATCAAGACAAAATCCAGAAGCAGGATGGATGCTGAGCCAGAGCTGTGACTAAACTTGACCACGATCGAGCCAGATACCACAGGACTGTGCGCGCAGAGACAGGTGCACCCCTCTCATTAGGCGCATGTAAGTTGCTAACAGTCGTGAACATGCTGCCAGTTCTTAATAACTGTGAATAGTTCATTGATCACTTTTTCCTGCTATGTTGCTACAGGTTTTACTTCTAAGTAGCAGAGTGTTAACACTGACGACACATTGTTCAAAGCGCGACTGAAAGACTGTTTTGAGCCTAATAATGTTCAGACAGGTGTGTGTTTTTGGTCCCACATGTGAAGACGGTGACAGTGATGACCAGAAAGGTCTTCATGTCTTGTTCATTCCGACATAATGCACTGACTTTTGTAATGTGAATGTTCATTCATGTTATAGATTTGTGATATATTTTTTTTACATTTATGGTTCTACCAGCCTGTTGTGTGTGTGTGTGTGTGTGTGTGTGTGTGAGGTGCTGCACCTTGTTATGTTATATATAGTTATAATGCTACTGTTGTGTACAGTGTGGCTGTTGCTGGCAACAATTATCAATAAATAATCCTCATATTCAGAGTAAGCATGCCTCCTTTGTGAACAGTAAATAGGGTCAGCCTTCACTACTGTATGTTCAGGTTGGTCATAATGGTGGTACTTGGAGAGCTCGATATTTTCTTCAGTGGTACACACTGTAAAAAGTTTGAGAACCACTGTACTAAAGCATAATAGATATCCCTGTTTATCAAATGGTCAGAAATAGCAAAAAAAAACACCGATTTTAGATTTTGTCTTTAGTTTGTATAATTTATAATAATGCAGCGATAAAAGGACACCAAGAGCTCAGTTCTCAGATTATTCTTCCCAAGAATCCTCAGGAAGTAGCGTCTCTGCTGTGCCTTCTTCAGGATTGAAGTGGAGTTTGCAGTCCAGGTCAGGTCTTCACCGATGTAGGTGCCCAGGAACTTGAAGTCTGGCACCATCTCCACCCTGTCCCTGTTTTTAGTGATGGGCTGAATGTCTGGTTTACACCTCCTGAAGTCGACAATCAGTTCCTTCGACTTGGAGGTGTTTAGGACGAGGTTGTTGGTGATGCACCAGACTGACAGTCTCCATTCTGTACGCAGTCGCATCTCTTCCAGAGATGAGCCCCACCACCGTGGTATCATCCGCAAACTTGATGATGGTGTTGTTCGGGTGGGTTGGGGTGCAGTCGTAGGTGTAGAGGGTGTAGAGTCGGGGACTTAGCACACAGCCCTATGGAGAGCCGGTGCTGGTGCTCAGTGCTGAGGACAGGTGGGGCCCTACTCTCACCCTCTGGGAGCGGTCTGTCAGAAAGTCCATGATCCAGTTGCAGATGTTGTGGGAGAGACCCAGGTCCCCCAGCTTGCTTACCAATCTGCTCGGGATGATGGTATTAAAAGCCGAGCTGAAGTCCAGGAAGAGCAGCCTCGCGTAGCTCCCTCACTGTTCCACGTGTGTCAGCGTGGTGTGCAGAGTGGTGGCGATGGCATCCTCCATAGACCTGTTGGCTCTATAGGCAAACAGGTGGGGGTCGAGTGTGGGTGGCAGGCATGAAGTGATTTGACTCCAAACCAGTTTCTCAAAGCCCTTCATAATGATAGGGTTAGTGCCACTGGCCGGTAGTCGTTGAGACTGCTGCTATTGTTCTTTTTTGGTAGAGGGATGATGGTGGAGGACTTTAAGCAGGGTGGGATGGAGCACTGGGTGAGGGACTGATTAAAGATGCTGGTGAAAAACCCAGCTAGCTGGTCAGCGCAGTCCCTCAGCACCCTCCCTGTCAGCCCGTCAGGTCCTGCAGCTTTCCGGGGGTTCACTGCCCTCAGGATTCTCCGCACTTCCTGTACCTGCACAGTGAAGGTCTGGCTCTGGAGGGATGTCAGCTGCAGTGTGGGCCCCGTTGGCGGCTCAGCCTCAAAACGGGCGAAGATGAATCAAACATGCTTCAGTGTTGTGCGTGAATCAACCCACAAAGGCCAGTTTTGAGCCAGGAAAAACAATGATGTGACTGGTGTTTGATTAATTATGACACTTTGGTACTACCTCAGTGAGCAAAACAGAGAAAAGTATTTTAAAATACTTTTTTTAAATGTATGTTTCATTATTTACTTTTTGTCCACTAGAGGGCAGAAAACACCATAAGACCCAGTGCAGCATTTATCTGGATTGATGTTTCTGTTCAACTGACTGAATTAAGCACTTCACTTAATTTTCTTTAAACATTGCTTTTTAACATCAAATCTAAACTATCTTATCTGCTGGAAATTAAAAGTAGTTGCTAACATTCTTTGGGGCTGGACAGGCAGCACACAAAGGATTCATCAGATGTCTTGTTTTTATCAAAGATGCAGTGGGCAGAAAACCAGAAAAGGTAAAGAACCACTATATTTAATCTCAGCTTCAGCTCAGAACCCATTTCTCCTAACTGAAAGTCCACTTTATAATCCATTCAACCACCATGTATCACTCAAATTGTGGACCACGCTGTCTTTATACGGTCACACCTCTGCTGGATTGTTCAAAGTCTCCCATCTCAGAAAACATCTCCTAAAGCCTGAACACAGAGCTAAGAGGAGGAGCAGATGTCTATTTTCCTCTCAGACAACTTGAATTATAATATGCTGAAAGATTATTTCAGGAGGGTTTTGGGACCTCTGAGTTGTTGCCTTTTGCAGATGGTATGGTTCCATTGGCTTCATCAGGTCTGGCTGTGGGTGAGTTGCTGCCCTAAATTAAGGAGTTGAAGTATCTTGGGACTATGTTCAGGAGTGATGGGAAAATGGGGGTTTGAGATGAGCAAATGGACTGGTGCAGCATCAGCAGTAATGCAGGGGTTGTACTGGATCATCGTGGTGAAGAGGGAGCTAAAATTGAAGCTCTGGATTTACCAGTCGATTTGCATTCAAAGCCTGAATATTGGTCATGAGCTCTGGGTAGTGATTGAAACAACGAGATCATGGATACGAGATGCTGAAATGGGTTTTTTCGTAAGGTGGCTAGACTCTGCCTACGAGATAGAGTGAAGAGCTTGGAGTAGACTCGCTGCTCTTTCGCATCAAAAAGAGCTAGCTGAGATGATTCGGGCAGCTGGTCGAGACTTCCTTTCGAGGTTTTCCAGACACTTCCAACTTGGAGAAGACCCCAGGGTAGACCTAGAACTCGCTGACCTAGAACTAGAACTAGAACTAGAACTTACATGCCTCATCTGGCCTGAGAACGCTTCAGGACCCCTTAGGAGGACTTTTAAAATGATGCTGGGGAGAAGGACGGCTGTTGCCATCACAACCCCAGATAAGAGGAGAAAATGAATGGTGGATGAAATTTTATTATGGAATTTTGCCCAATGATGCCAGAAAAAATAGTGCTTACCCCGGCTTTAAATTTATTCTTACAATTCTAAAATACCTGCCAACAGCTGCAGGAAACTGGCTTCATAAAGACTGTAATAAGTTACTTTGTATATAATTAAAATGAAAACACATAAATTAAATTACATTAAATGAAATTAAATAAATTGCGTTAATTCAAGTCATGTCGGGGCACTTACAATATTATATTATTGTAAGAAAACCAATAAATTCAATGATTCCTTTTCAGCAAGGTCTAGATAGACAGCTGGGTTAGGAGATTTAATGAAATGACATTTTGAGAGCTTGCCTTTCAATGTGACGCATTAACTAAGAGTAGTGTCATTCAACACCGTCACCTATTAGGGTATTGTTCATTTCACTTACTGTGGTTTTGCCTTTTCCTGGTAGTGCTGGTGCAAGAGAGCATACAATTGCAGTTCTTTGTGCAACACAGTGAAGCCGGATGGGAAATGTGAGACGAAAAAGGGGTAATGTGTTGCTGCAGAGGATCAGCTGGCCAGGAGTTAAACCAGGCATTTCTGAGTCAGCCTATTCTTTAACATTTTTAAAGGCATTTTGATGCTTGGTCACTGTTGTACCCACTCATCATAAAGTTACATTTAGCACTGCACAAATCACATTCAGGACTGAAAGGAATATTCCTGTTTTTTTTTAGTTTGTTTGTTTTTTAAAACGATTTTTTGCAGATAGTCATTATTTTTAGATTGGTTTCAGTGGAAAATAAACTTCCGTTTCCACATAAAATCATGACTTATGGTGTGACTTTTTTTTACATCATTCAGCCCTAGTTTGCAGCATTCCTTTTAGCCACTACAGTAGAATGGCAGTTAACTCCCCTCCAATGTGAGCCATGAGAACATACGTGATCATCAAACAGCAGCGTACCTGGCACTCGTCAGGGTTGAAGTCCTGCGCTTTCTTCTTCTGGTTGTATGGAATGCTTTTCAGCGCTGCACCGTTGTACCAGTGACGTCCGTGGTCGTCGCTCAGGATGCAGAAAACTCCGTCGCCCTCCAGTGTGCCATGACCACAAACCACCAACCTCCCCTTCGCTGGACTGTAGCGCTTCTGTAGTGCACAAATGGACGGAGCAGAAAGATGCTGAAAGTAATTCTCTTAATCGTGAAGTATTTCTAAGTATTAAAAGATAATGTGAGAGCCAAGACAAAAGATTGAAAACATACTGCTAAATAAGACAAAAGTGGAAATAAATAAGCGAGCCACTGTGTAGTAATTGTTTGGTCACTGGCATTGTCGTTTTCTTGTCATTTTACTTAATAAAAACACAATTAAAATGGGGTTAAATAATAAAAATAATAGTATAATGACTGTAAAAAATGTCTTTAAGCAAACCATGAATAACATTTCTATAAACATTGCCTGATCTGTTGGGATTTTTCAGAAGGTCCATTAACATAGATGATATGGGACAAAAGCAGCTAATGTGTATAATTATAGCTTCTTCACAAATAAATGTTAATAAAATTAATAAAACATTGCCATCTGTTTCAAATACATTTAGCACACTTGTTTCAAGAGACCATAATCAAAGCTCTACATTTAGTTAAATTTGAAATACATGATATGATGTAATAAAGTCACATCAGCAAGCAACTCAGACAAATGCAAAAACCAGATGTTTACACTGTACAGGTTTAACAGGATTTACACATCCATCCATTATCTATACACCGCTTAATCCACACTAGGGCCGCGGGGGGCTGGAGCCTATCCCAGCTGACTTAGGGCGAAGGCAGGGGACAACCTGGACAGGTCGCCAGTCTATCCCAGGGCTACACTTAGAGACAGACAACCAAGCACACTCACATTCACACCTACGGACAATTTAGAATCACCAATTAACCTCAACATATTTTTGGACCTTGTGGGAGGAAGCCGGAGAACCCGGAGAGAACCCACGCTGCACGGGGACAACATGCAAACTCCACACAGAAAGATCCCAGTGCCCCCACCCGAACGTGAACCGGTGACCCTTTTGCTGCGAGGCAACAGTGCTAACAACTGCGCCACCTTGCAGCCCAGGATTTACACAGAGATTGCTTAAATTTAAAAACACAGTTGATCCTGATATTTATACTAACAGTATGTTCAGTCAGATCACACAAATACAAAAAGATATATCACACCAAAACAGCCCTTCTTTTTACTGTATCCACTGACTTTTCATACAAACCAACACTGATACATCTGTCAAGCAATATCAGATAATTTTACAAACCCTACAATATCAATCAATCTGACTCTAAATAATAAAGACAGTGAGAATGGATAAAACCAGTGGCAGAAGATGAAGTCAAACTACAAATACTCTGTTAGAAGTACAAACTGTAAGTAAATGTATGTATTATAAGAAAAATGTAATGTATCAAAAGTATTCATCATGTAAAGTGACCTTTTAAGCATCACTACTATGCTGTTCAAAGCAGAGCCAGTTTTAACTACATATCACTGCATGGTTTGGTAGTTTGATCAATGATGCATCATATTTTATACAGCAGACTTTGGCAGGTGGTAACCTAGATGTCTGAGAACAGATTTTGTTGCACAATAACATCACAACCGGGCAAGACAAAGTCGTTAAACTTTGCAGGCATTTAACTGACATTAAAATTAAAATTGGGCTCGACAACTGCTCGGTGTGTTTTAGGGAACTTTTTTCTCCCACTGTTGACAAAAAGGTGACAAATTACAACGAAGTAACATCACTGACCAGATGTGGATGATGCAATTATGCCGGGACTTCCAGTTTGCACCTAGACACAGCTGTTATTATCTTATTGCATACAAAGTTTTGCTTAATTTCCAAAACATCAACACTGAGAGTCCACCTGACAGACCTCTTGTCAGCCACAGTGGACATGCAGGAGCTTTAATTTACAGTAACCACCGTATATCTGCGTGAGAAATGCAGTGAAGGAGCCATTTTTTTGCTATGTTTGTGTTCTTTTTGTGAACTCCTCCAATGATCAAGTGCAGCTTCCCTGTTTTGGGTTATCGAGTGCAGCACTTAATGGAGACATGCGGTGTTTAGACAGATTTTTGTTCCTCTTTATCTTCTGTTGTGGACATTGTTAATCATTAGCAAGTGGTGAGCTGCATCTATCTGGATAATAAATAAGAACTCTGACCACATAAATCAGGCATTTTGATTCTAAGTACACGCCACTGTAGCCACTCAACAGCTTTACAAACTACAAGTAGTAGTAAAGTAAAAACTACAATAATTCCCTCTGAAATGCAGCTTCATGAAGTAGTACTAATATAGTCATACTCAAAAAAATACAAATTTGTCATAATTTTCTTTAATACACTTCCAGACTTTCCACCTGTTTCACCTTGTGACTCTTGTTCCTCTTTGTGGAGACAGTTTGGATGAAGCTGACATATTTTGTCATGACAGCATATTAAGCTATATTTGTTTATACTTTTTTAAACCCACGTCTGCAATGTGAATGCAGATTATTTGGGCTCAAAATAAGCCAAATCTGGTTGTCAAAATTCTGACAGCTAGATGTCTTTATTGGCTAACAAAGCTGCTAACTCAGCAGCCTGACTCAGCTGAGTTTGTAACATCATGACTGACTGTGATAAAGTCAATTTTAATGAACTAATCATCCGTGAAGTCTTTAAATTATTCAGTCAAACTGCAGTACTTTAAGCTGTTATAATGATCACTGTCTTTTTGAACCTGAAACCAGAACTAGGATAGTTTTCACTTCTTATTTGGGGAGTTGTACAAAAATCCATCCATCCATCCATCGTCTTCCGCTTATCCGGGGTCGGACCGCGGGGGCAGTAGGTGGAGCAGGTCGTGCCAGACCTCCCTCCCCCCGGCAACACTTTCCAGCTCTGCCTGGGGGATCCCGAGGCGTTCCTAGGCCAGCCGAGAGATATAATCCCTCCAGCGGGTTCTGGGTCTTCCCCGGGGTCTCCTCTCAGGTGGACGTGTTCGGAAAACCTCCAGAGGAAGCCTCCCCAGAGGCATCCGAACCAGATGTCCATACCACCTCAACTGGCTCCTTTCGACGCGAAGGAGCAGTGGCTCTACTCTGAGCTCCCTCCGGATGTCCAAGCTCCTCACCCTATCTCTAAGGCTGAGCCCAGCCACCCTGCCGAGGAAGCTCATTTCGGCCACTTGTATCCGCGATCTCGTTCTTTCGGTCATGACCCAAAGCTTGTGACTATAGGTGAGGGTTGGAACATAGATGGGCAGGTAAATCGAGAGCTTCGCCTCTTCACCACGCCTGTCCATGTCACGCTCCATTTTCCCATCACTCATGAACAAGATCCCGAGATACTTAAACTCCCTCGCTTGAGGAAGCAACTCCCCCCCCAATCGGCCGAAGCCTCCTTTCCAGCACCCTAGAGTAAACTTTCCCGGGGAGGCTGAGAAGTGTGATACCTCGATAATTGGCACACACTCTCCGGTCCCCCTTTTTAAAAATGGGAACCACCACCCCAGTCTGCCAATCCACAGGCACTGTACCCGATGCCCACGCAACATTGAAGAGACGTGTCAGCCATGACAGTCCGACAATGTCCAGAGCCTTCAGCATCTCAGGGCGAATCTCGTCCACACCTGGCGTTTTGCCACCGAGGAGCTTCTTAACTACCACGGCGACCTCTACCACGGATATGGACGCAAAAGCCCCCAAGTCTTCAGGCTCTGCCCCTTCAGCTGAGGACGTGTTTACCGGGTTCAGGAGTTCCTCGAAGTGCTCCTTCCACCGCTCAATGACATCCCCAGTCTGGGTCAGCAGTTCTCCTCCCCAACTGTACACAGCCTGGGCGAATCCCTGCCTCCCCTTTCTGAGGCATCAGACGATTTGCCAGAACTTCCTCGGGGCCGACCGAAAGTCCTTCTCCACAGCCTCCCCGAACTCCTCCCACACCCAAGTTTTAGCTTCCACGACCGCCGCAGCTGCAGCCCTTTTGGCCAGCCGGTACCTGCCTGCTGCTTCAGGAGACCCCCGAGTCAACCAGGCCCGAAAGGTCTCCTTCTTCAGCCTGACGGCATCCCTCACTGCCAGTGTCCACCAGCGGGTTTTGGGGTTGTCGCTGCGACAGGCACCAGCGACCTTCTGGCCACAGCTCCTAATGGCTGCTTCTGCAATGGAGGCTTTGAACATGGACCACTCTGACTCCATGTCCCCAACCTCCCCCGGGATGCAGGAAAAACTCTTCCGGAGGTGGGAATTGAAAACCCCACGGACAAGGGCCTCCGCCAGACGTTCCCAGTTCACCCACACAACACGTTTGGGTTTACCAGGTCTGTCCGGCAGCCTTCCCCACCATCGGATCCAACTCACCACCAGGTGGTGATCAGTTGACAGCTCAGCTCCTCTCTTTACCCAAGTGCCCAAAACATACGGCCGCAGATCTGATGATATGACTACAAAGTTGATCATCGACCTTTGGCCTAAGGTACTCTGGTACCAAGTACACTTATGAGCAACCTTATGTTCGAACATGGTGTTTGTTATGGCCAATCCGTGGCTAGCACAGAAGTCCAAAAACAAAACACCTGGGTTCAGATCAGGCAGGCCGTTCCTCCCAATCATACCCACTTGACTTGTACAAAAAGATATGCATTAATCAGGCGGCAACACAATTTGTGCATAATGTGCCTTGGAGGATTTACACAAATGGAAAAAAGGTTTTTACATCCCCTGATCGCAACAGCTCCTCTGGGAGCAACATAACTTTACAATCTGCCCTTAAAGCCTCACTTAAACACCTGTAATCACTAGTATGTGAAGTGACTGATTAACCTGTCAGTAGCTTGTAATCACAACAAAACCATCGTATCACGAAGGTAATTTGGCTTAAATTTTAGCTCATCACTGTAGCTTCTCCCATCTTACTGTCACATCACTCTCTCACCTGGATGCCGAAGCCCGGTCCGGGAGCGAAGCTCTGGACCCCGAGCTGGACCGAGAGATTTCTGGGCGTGCTCCAGGTGAGGCCATCATCCTGACTCGCCACCATCATGGTGCTGGATGGGCCGCAGTGGTAGAGGTGGAAGCAGATGGTGTAGATCAGAATCACCGAGCCCACCTTCTCGTCCACCACCACCGAGCCCAGGTTCAGGCCATCCGGCTCCGTAACGTCATCCACGATGAAGGTGGTCGGGGACCAGGTGGCTCCTGGAGGGATGGAGGAGGAGGCGACCAAAACTGTGACCTCAGACTTTATATTTAGTTTAACTTTAGTCAGTTCCTTCACATTCATACACTCGGAAACACTCAGACAGTAAAATGAAGAGAAAACTCTCATGACTTATGTATATACACAGGTATGTGAGGCTATTTCTGCTACCACTGCACAAGACAAAAGTTCACTGTGACTGCATTGATGGCCCTATAAAAGAACATTTGTTAGAACAGTGTTTCTAAAGGCTCACAGGACACTTAAAGTAAACAAATGTACCTTATCTGCAGCATCCAGTAACACAGAGAGATAAGTGTCTAAAATGTTGTCTTGGTAGGCACATGATGAGCTCTGTGAGGAGCCATGTACACACACTCTGTTGACAGGAGATTCAGAATCAAAATGACAAAGATTCTGTTTACTTGCATTGAGCTTCTAATCAGTAAACACTTCTAATCCATTCCTTTGGTCTCCTGTTGTGGTTTTTTTTTGGAACAAATCTGTTTCATCTACCTGAAAAAGAATTCGCACCACACGTGAAACCATTTGAGAAACTTTTGTGAAACTGCAGTGTTCTAAATATCCTAATTAAAATTAAATCAAAACTAAATTGCAGGATTTCCCTTTAGGGATCAATAAAGTATTTCTATTCTATTCTATTCAGTTTGATTCTCCCACTACAGCTCTATTTAGAGTATTGTCTTAATCAGATCTCTACTTTAAGACTGAGATGTGAAATTTTATCCTGTGTTAAACATATTAATACTGATAAACCAAAATCAGTATGTTTCCAGAGCTCTTTCAGAACCTATATCATATTTACTTTTTAAATAAGTTTACAATTAAGCTGAAAATGTAATTAAGATAGAAGTTTTCCTTCCAACTGCCTGATGCTGACATAAGTTCCTCCTTGTACTTTCAGAAACAGTAAAACTCTCCTAAATGTCTGTAATCAGAGCACCATCTGACAGTGTTATCTCGTGCATGTGTGCACACGGTGTGTGTTCTCTCTCTCAGCTGGTCCTGCCTTTGTCTGTGGAGCGCCTCATTGCAATGAACTTTGCTCCGATGTCGCTGGCCGTTGACTTCCTGGCTTCAGCGAAGGCCAGCAGACTCCCTTTGGTGGTGAAGGTGAGCAACGGGATCCTGTAGGTGTTGACGTGGCCCTGAGCCCCGCTGACCCACAGCAGCTGCTCCTCGTACACCAGAGGGTCGATCTGGACAAAGAGGAGGACAAGGAAGGCTGAATAATGCAACATGTGGTCACGAATCCTGGCTTCTTCCTTTTTCTCATTAAATAAATAAGTCTGCAGCATTTTGAGGGCAAGTGAAACTGAAACTGGTCTTATTTCACAACCACCTACGATTTGTTCAGAATGCAGCTGCAGGTTCTCAAGTGGTACATTCCAATTTATCTGTACTGGTTAGCGTATATAATATTGTAGGGTCTTAGTATTAACATTTAAGTTTATCAGGTTAATATGAATCATGTAAAATATTGTAGTACTGTCTTAAACTTAACATTAAAATCATTCAGCTAAATTTTTATAATTAAGAATTTTGTACGGTTTTAATCTTAATATTTGAGTTAGTCAGATACATTTGTGTTTTATACAATCTTGTAGGGCCTTAACCTGAATATTTCTATTTGTCTGGTAAAATCCTAAAATATAACATTGTACATTCCTAAACTTAATATTGAAACAAGTCATCTAAATTTGTACATTTGAGTCCTAATCGTAATATTTATTTTATTTAGGCAAACTTTTTACAGTGTGTAATATTTTAGTATCCAAACCTCAATATTAAAATTAGTCAGGAAAATTTTCATTTATATAATATTTTAGGTGCCAAAATTGTAATATATGAACCTACCCCTTTTCCACTAAACCGGTTCCAGTGCCAGTGTCGTGCCAGTGCCTGACATGGAACCAGTTCTTTGTGTTACCACCGCCTAAACACCAGCCAGACAACCAGACTCTCACATTCACACCTACGGACAATTTAGAATCACCAATTAACCAATTAATTGGACTGTGTGGGAGGAGGCCGGAGAACCCACACTGCACGGGGAGAACATGCAAACCCGAATGTCCTCACCGGGACGCGAACCGGCGGCCTTCGAGCTGCGAGGCAACGGTGCGAACTACCGAGCCTTGCAGCCCAATATTTCAATGAAATAGGTACATTTCTACAAAACAATTTAAT